AGGAAAAAAGGAAAAGAAAGGAATTGGAACAAAAAAACAAGCCAGAGTAGCACAACTAAAGGCACTCATGAAAGAGCATTCCAGAGCTGCTTAGGAGCAGGGGGATAAAAGTGTCTGAAGGGAGGGGGTATTGTTCATTTGTTTGTCAATCGAACTAGTGACCTTGCGCTTGCCCCGCAGACAGGCGGGCAGAACCACTGAGCTAAATCCCCAGCCCCAAGGGAGGGGAAGTGTTTTGAGGAGAACTAATGGCAATGTGTCTTATAAAGGTTTAAAATTTAAACATTCACTGTATTTTGTGTGATCACATCTGATGAAAGGTGGATTTTAAAATCCAACCTGAGAACCACAGTTATTGAACCTATTTCTAGTAATAGTAATTACAGATAGATTTCGTTTTATTTTCATTCATTGTCCCCTCCACTCGCTGTGCATTTTTCTTCTTTTTATTGTTCTAATGTTCACTGAGAAAATCAACTTTTCTTTCGCTAGGTTCTTGCCTTCCCCGCCCTTGCTGTAGCATACTCCTGCTGGTTTTTAAGTTTGTAGCATGAATTCTTGACAACATGAGCCGAAGTTAACTTCTCCCCACCCTCCATAACACTAAGGAGACTATGAAACACTTATTTATCATGTCTCTTTTTTTAATGTGTTGATTTCCCTCTCTTTCGCCTCCATCTTGCTTTTATGTCCTCAAGATGGAACCATTATTGTCTGCATTGTTTTAGACACGGCTGTTGCACTTTGGATTTGCCCACGGTATTATTTCTTTGGGCGGCTCTTTGTATGACGCGCCCTGCGGCCTTCAGCTTCCTCTGGCCTGAGGGTTTTCAATTTGCTGCTTCTCAGATCCGACGCCCCTCCAGTGTTGCTCTGTGACCCTGGAAGCCCCTGGAAGCCCGGGTCTCTGCAGTGAGCTTCCTCCGCAGGCTGGGCGCTGTGGTAGTAGGGGAGCTGCGGGGTTTGGGGTGCAGGGTTGAGGCTGGGCCTGAGGACCCTCAGCCAGGCACCCAGAACCCACATCCCCTTGGCAACCTGGAGCCGCCCTGCCCTGTGATCACCCGGCATGGCTGCTCACTGGGGCATCCTGATGCCCGGTACGCACCCTCCCTGACAGCCCATCTCTGGGGGCACAGAGGACCCCCCGACCCCGTGCAGGTGCCCCCCCATGGGAGCAAGCCACACTGTGCTCCAGACTCTCGTCCGCCGCAGCAGCCCCGGGACCCCTCGAACGCGCTCCTGGCTCTCTCACTCTCAGTTTTCACCGTCATCGCTTTGTCTCCGGCAGGAGTACTGCGAGCCTGACGCATCTGATCTTTCCGTGCTCCTGTTTGTATTAAGCTGCTACACATGGGCATCCGAGCCTCGCCTCACCTCGTCAAACGCCGCCCTCCCTCCTCCTCCCCAGCTCTCCAAGCCCGCGCTCCGCCAGGCCTGCTCCTCCCCGCCCCGTCTGCACTGCTTTCGCTGCCTTTCCGTGTCTGCAGACACCGCTTCCACGCTCCTCGGTCCTTTCCCACAGACCCAGCTGGTGACTGAGTCCATCACTGAACTGCTGCTGTGAATGACTCGGGTTTACACATTCAGCCGTTCTATTTGACTCATTTGCAAATTTGCCTGCTCTTTTTGTCTTTACTTGTTATAAATGCACTTATTCTGCATTTTCTACAAATCGTATCGTTTCAGGTTCCTGCTAATTGTTGTCTGCTGATTCTCACCATGAATATTTTCCCTCGGTTGTTTTGTTTCATCATGAATTTTCCTCCAAAACAGGATTTATCAATAAAAACTCCATCATAGCTGAGGCGATGGCCTCACCAGGGCCACTTGGACAGTGACTTGTTTGCACTGACTAAAAAGCACTGTACGCGTTTCTCATCCAAGTGAGACATGTCCATGGTTACATTTATCAGAAATATTTTGACCCATTGTGGCGTCTAAGCCCAGGTGGAAAAAGATCCTTGCCATCTCACTTAGACAATGAGTTACTTTTTTCTTAAAGTCCACCCTTTCCCTCAAATGATAGCCCTAAAAGCTCCTGACTTTGGACACCTTCGTCCCGTATGAACAGCCCTAGCTATGTCTGGAAAAGGATGCTGTCTACATTATAACTCACATTATGAGGAGTTGTTTAAAGGAGAGCTTCAGGTTGCCTATTCTACCATGGCTCTAATGAAACAAAAATATAACAATTACATTAATAATACGTTTTCCAAGGTAAAACGTAGGCTGTCCCCCTTCTGACACAAGCAACTGTTAAAAGGCTGCATGGCAATTGGCATTACAACTGGCAAAGGAGAAATATAATTTTCTGATCGATCATTTCTTTGTTTCCAAAAGTGCTTCTGTTAAGCTAAAAGTCTAAGAGTTGAGAACATATTTTTATTTGAGCTTTCTGAGTCATATTAATTAGTCAATGTTTTCAAAGTGCTTTTGGAGATGAAAGCATTATTCATCAGCAAACCCAAATTTTTTGTTATCATAATGATGGCTTCTTTTAAAGATGCTAATTGGCCCACCTGCCATGAGAGAGCAACTTCACCTTTGCATTAATGACTGGAAACAACTTTAAGGCACCCTATTTATTAATTCCACTAGCTTAAACTTCATATGCAAGGAATATATACTTTACCATTACAATAGCAATGAAAATTCACAGCAGTAAAGGGGAGTGTTTTGATATTGTGTGCACCTAAAAATAGAACGCTGCTTCTGTGGGAGCCACAAATTAAAATCCATTATTCTCATTGCTTCCATATCATTGTTTCTATAGATGAGAAATATTTTCACATTTCTCAGCAGAGTAGACCTTATTGAAATGGTCTGTTCTCAACACCTGTCCCGTGAATATTGTTTTTATGCTGTTCTCTTTTGCTTTTGTAGAGGAGAATTATTAACTGATATATTAGCATTTAAATAAAAACTGACTCTTAAAAACATCAATTCAAAAAGATTCAAAAGCCAACCTTTAAGAACATGATGAATATTTAGCAACCTAGACAGTAATGAGAAGATTTTTCTCAGATTCTTTTGTAAAGTGCAAAGAAAGAATATTATGGTCCTCTAATGTTATCCAAATATTAGTTGCCTTTTTTTCTAAATTGTATTTCTACCCCTACTGCATTGCATCACATATCAGATGTTCGATATGGTATTTGAAGGGACTGATTTTTTTCCCGAGGACTAAAATGATTTTTCACAAAGCTTCCTTAAAGAATCAAAATGATTTGGAAAGCCACATGAATAGCTCTTTCCTCTGCAAAGAGATGGCTATAAAAATCTAGCATAGAAAGCGAAGTACAGGTAGCTCTTCTGAACCTTCATGACACTTGTTTGAAACGAGTTGTTCTAAAAGAATATTCTAGAAAAATATACGATCCAAATGACTCTTTAAAAAAAAATAGCTTACAAGCCTTTGTTCCATAATCAAATAGCCCGTGGCAAGCGGCTTGCTAGTGGCACTGTCTGAGGGTGCTGGGTCACCTCTCCAGGGACTGAGGGACCATGAGGGGACTGACATCCTCACCTATTACAACGTCACTCCAGGGCCAGAAGAGCCGGGGAGTACGGAAAAGCACCTAGACTGTCCCTGGGATGATCTATTTCTTGTAGAACAAGTCCAGCTGAAATTTTTGAAACTCGGCTTGTGTCTAATGTTGAGAATTGGGCTGTTAGGCAGAAGCTCCATTTCTTCATTCTGGATTTTAACCAGGCTCTTCTGCGAATTTTCACACTACCAAAACCATCATTGGTCATTTATCTTCTCTGCTTAAACAAGAACTTTAATAGCTAGCGGTCAACTTCCCATCAACGAGAGGGACCATCTGATATGTTTTAGCAGCTGCAGTGTGTCAGTAACCGGAGACTTGGCGCATAAGGAGGGTGTTTACTAGTGGTGAGGAAGTCAGGGGTGGATGTGGGGATCCCCATGTCTGAACAGTTCCGCATCTGAGAGGAAGCGCACATGGGACTCTGCAGTTCTAAACTGGTGTGAGGAGCATGACAGAGCGTCCTTCTGAGTGTCTCGCTGGCAGGGAGGGGGAAGCGATCCGGAGATGTGGGAAGCTCAAAGAAGACGTTCACAGCAGGGCTTTCCCTAAGATCTAAAGATAAGCAGGAGCGCTGGGGAGACAGGGAGAACCAGGCATCCGGCAGAGGCAGGAAATGCAATGGTGGTTTAGGGAAACAGTAAACTCCCTCTTGATGACTGCAGCATGATACATTAGTGCACCCAGAATGGACAGCAGGATTCCAGAGTGCAAAGACACACACACACGTGAGCGTGCACGTGTGTGCATACCTGCTTACACTTTAATATTGCAGGCCTTTAATAGAGGTACTGTGATGGCTTGTGTTTAGATGTCCTGTGGCCTGAGGGCATCACGGGAAGCTGCAGGGCTCCACCCTTTGCAGCCTCAAATTGCAAAAGTGAAAGACTTTGCTTTGAGAAGAGGAATCCTTGAGCACCATGGTCCAGAATGGCGTTGGCCTAGGGAAGTCGTTCCTTGGGATTTGGTTGATAGGAACTCAACCCCTACAGCCAAGAGAGAAGGAAGCCTGGCTGCTGCTCCAGCTGGCGGCAGACCTTGGCATCATCCACGTGGTGCTGGCTTTAGACAAATGCAGAATGCGAGAGCTGTGGGGTCAGGAAGGCTTCCACCCAGATCTCAGGAGAAGGCCTGGGAGGCCGGGCACTGCCCCTGAGAGGGCCGTGTGTGAAGCTGTGAGTGTGAAGCCGAAGGTGCAGTGGAGACCCCAGAAGTTTGGAGAAGCCAGGAGCAGGGACTGTTTGAGGAAAACTGCAAGCTGGCCCCAGGGAGAAGCCATGGGACCTACCACACCCCTGGCAGTGCTGTAGGGGTGGAGCCATCCACACCCCTTGTGGTTTACATCTTGCCACGGATTGCTGGGAAGGCTGGATGTAGAACTACAGGGCTGAATGTCTTCCCTGCTGGATTTTGGATTTGCTTTGGTCTCATTCCTTTACATCCCTGTTTGCTCCGTTTGTAACTTTTGGAGTGGTAACGTCTATCTTGTGCCACTGAATGTTGGAAGTGTTTGATTTGACTTTTCTTTTTTTTCTTTCTTTTTTTTTTTTTTTTCAGTCGTACTGGGGCTTGCAGCTAAGAGTTTGCTCAGAGGAGACTTCGGACTTGGACTTTTCAGCAATGCTGAAACTGCTAGGATGTTGGCAACTCTTGGAGATGGACTAAATGCTTTTTTGCATAAAAGGATATGCACGAATCTTGGGCCAGGGCAGAATGTTATGGCTGTGTCTAGATGCCCGAATGTCTCGCTTTTTCAGAGGTGCTAAATCTAGAGTGTGTGGTTGATTGATGGTGAGATAAACCCGAGAGCACTAGGATTAAGGGTGTGATGCCGCCTGTCCTAAGTGTTCAGAACGAGAAAAGGGGCAGAAAGATGCTGCTAAACTCTCTTACTGCTTTTGCTGTCTTCCACTGCCATAAACGGTTGCCCCCTCCCACCCTGCCTTAGAGCCAGCTGACTATGTACTGAAATCTCTATGAACTGTAAGCCAAATAAACCTTTTCCCTGTTAACTTTGAGTGTTGGGTATTTTGCCTCAGCAAGGACAGATAAGTAACTAACAGAGGTACCCAAAGGTCAGTGGGTAGAAATATCACACATGTAACGACTTAAAGTGGCACACACTTATTACGTCACTGCTCCTGTGGGTCAACAGTGGCCACAGCATAGCGTCTCCTAAGGACATGGTCAAGACGTCACCTGGAGGGTTTCTTTTTGGAGGCTCCTCTGAGGAGTGGGTCACTCCGCCTCCTTCTGGTTGTTGGTAGAATTATTTTCCCAGGGTTGTATGCAGGAGGGTCTCAGATTTTGCTGGCTCTCAGCTTGGTCGCCCACACCCCTGTGGTGGCCCACAGTGTCCCATCGTCAGGCTCCCTCTTCAGGCAGAGTTTGCACCTTCGCAGCACAGCAGCTGGCTGTTAACACACCAGACAGGGGTCCCTCTCTCCAGCCGGCTAGGATGGAATCTTCCGCGATGAGTACAATAGAAGGTGAATGTTAAACTTTTTGTTTCAAACAAACTTAACCCATCTTTCTCACTATTAAAAAAAAAAAACTTTATTAAGATGTTTGTTTCCAGAATTTCAATTGCTCACTTTGCCAGATTAAACATTGAATAATGGCTTATCTTGTTAGAGTAGATCGCTTCCCTTTTTCCATTCTGAACAATGTGAAAAGTATCAGCCTGCATTCTTGCTGGTGGATTCACACAGTACTCTAGCTCCCTGGTGCTTTGACCTCATCCTCTCCAGTTATTTTTATTTATTTTCTTTTCTGGCCACTGGCCACTTTCTGCAGCAGGTCTGGACATCTTTTGTAACTCTTTACTAGATTTGATCAAAAGCTACCGTGAATGCTGCCACTGTGTGCCACCTAACAGAAAGGCAGCCTTGCGAAAACATTACAGTGTGTTCCTGTCCACTGCTGGCTCTTCCCCAGAGTAAAAAGGACCATCAAAGATAAACATTTTGAATCACATCAGGATGTCAAAGCAGCCACAACAGTGTAGCTATAAGAT